GAAGATATAGTTTCCTTTCTTCCCTGTTAGTTGTTGGAGTAGTAAAATGCTCTGTGGGTTTCTAATAGCTTGATCTTTAACCTAAGAGTAAGAAAGTGGGTATTCTGAAACCTTTTACAAAGGTTCTTAGGATGTAATGATTTATTAGGAGGGGTAATGCCCATTCTTGTCTCACAGGCTACTCTTTGCCACCTATATGACCTAGATTTATTTACTTAACCCTTGCTTATTAATATAATCACTTAAATTCCACTATGATTTTTCAGGTATGTCCCATGTACACCAAAAGTATGGCAGAAAAAGAAAAACAGAACTTAGGAAGAAAAAGTGAGTTTGATCAGTCAGTATGGAGCAGAGATTAAAACACTATTCAGATGACATTAAGTACCTGTGTTTTCACTCTTGGAAACTTCAACAATTAAAGATGACCTGTTTTATATTTTTGTAATTATCTGCTATATTTAAGTATAAATTGCTTTGCTTAAAAAAAAAAAAAAATGACTCGAATCCTAAATCAACCCTTCCAAGCACAGTACAGTTAGAAATTATGATGTGGACTCAGAGATTCAAATATAAAAAAATCCTGTTCAGTGCTTGTGACAAGAGCTATTTGTTATACTATTATCTTTATTAACTACTCTTTATTAACAGTTTTATCTGGCAAACTAAACTGGAAAAAACTCCTCATTATAGGGCTACTACTAGTGCCTTATTACCTCCCACATTGTTATCTGCTAATACCTTTAGTCTCTCCCATGGAATTGCAAAGAATAGAATCAAGTCCATGCCTCTTCTGGGGCAACATGGAAATTCAATAGCTTTTTAAAGTGAAGGTTTAATGAAGACAACATTGATATTTTTGTTTTACTCTCTGAAGGGAAGTGGGGAGATGGCTAGAGAAAACCATGGGTTTGAGAACCACTGGTATAATCTAAATTTAAATTTATATTTTCAATTGGAAAATTTACATAAACATAAGGTAGGATTCCAAGGATTGAACAGCATTTTTAAGGATTAAAATTTTCCGGCTGGACAAATATATAAAAATGATACACTAAGTATTTATATTCTATGATAAAGTACAAATGTCATAATATAATTAACTGTCTATTCTTCAGAGATCACATAGTGGAGTGGCAGTAACATAGCTATATTATTATCTTTTCCAATACCAAAATAAAATATTAAATCACAGATCTGATAAAGGTTTAGTATCCAGAAAATATAAAGAGCTCTCACAATTCAACAACAAATAAGCAATGACGCAAATGTTTAAATTACCTACCTCAAACTCACGACGTTTCTCATAAATTGGAATAATCAATTTGGAAATCTCAGAGATTACTTCATAACGTTCTGCTTTCCATAAGCCATCCACACATTGTTCTAGCAACTCCAGCAAAACTTCCTGCATTAAGAGAAAAATGCAATCAGGAATTAGAAATAGTTTTAGAGTTCTGGGCAAATAAATTTTGATTCTTTTCAAGTTAATAAAGAATAAACAGAATTGTACTAATAAATTTAATGAAATGCACAGGAGTATACTTGTTTAACTATAGTTTCCAAACCAAATACTTGAAGTATTTGAAGCTGAAACCATTCTTAAAAATATGAAATAAATGTTGACAACAGTAAAGTACATCCATTTATTTTGCCTATTCATATAACGAAGCTGTTAACTATACTTATAAATTGTGATACTTTGAGAAGGATTATCTTTAAAAGGGGATAAATTGTTCCAAACTGAGGATGTCTGAACAACTAATGGTAAATTTCACTAAGCCTATAAATGTCCATTATTGTTCCTTTATACTGAAATTATATACATAAGAGACTTAAAATTTTTTGACAACTTTTAAGATGTTGCATTAGTAATTAAGTGTTTATTAAAATAATGTGACTTTGGTAAAGAATGCTTCTTTCTTGACTGTTGGTTCTAAAATTAGTGAGGATGATAGGATAATAGCTCAAGATAGACCTCTGACCTTGTCAGAATGGTAACAGCGGCTATAAAACAAAATTGTTTTGTGAACCATCATCTCATGTTCTCAACAATAAAAAGATGACAATTATTGATGCTATCCATAAGTCTTAAGTTTATTTCTAAAAGAGATGCACGTCAGACCTATAGAACTGGTTACTAAAATGGCTCTTTCTGTATGTCCTTTAGACGATTTTGAACTCGTCTTCTTTCTAAACTAGCTCTTTCACTTATATTTCCTATCTAGCCAGTGGCAACACATAGGAACCCTTAGCTAGAAAACTAAGAGCAGTTTGCAGTTTTGACTTTACCCTATGTTATGGATTGAACTGTCCTTCAAAAAGTTGAATTCCTAATCCTCAGTACCTCAGAATGTGACCTTATTTGGAAATGGGGTCACTGCAGATGCAATTAGTTAAGGAAGTCATACTGGAGTAGGGTGGGCTCTTAATCCAATACAACTGATATCCTTAGAAGACAGAGTCACGCAGGGAGAATACCATGTGACTACAGAGGCAGAGATTGGAGTAATGCAGCTACAAGCCAAACGATGCCAAAGAGCAACAGCCACCATCAGAAGCTAGGAAGAGGCAAAGAAGGAGTCTATCCAGTCTCAGACGGAGCATGGTCCCGATGACATCTTGATTTCAGGCTTCTAGAAACTAGAACTGCGACACAATAAATTTCTGTTGTTTTAAGCCACTCAGTTTATGAATTTTGTTAAGGCAGCCACAGGAAACTAATACACTCACCTCTGCTCAACTTCTAATCAGTTCATCACCAAGTTCTACCAGTTTTACTTTCTAAAATTTCTCAAATCTGGCTCTTCTTCTCCATCTCTACTCTCATGGCTAAGGTTCAAAACCTGATTACTCTTTTCCAATTGATCTTCCTGCCTCCAGCATTGGCACTTTTCAATCTATCCTCCATGAATCTGCCATAGGGCTTCGATTAATTTGAAAACCAGACCATGGCCCTCTCCCCCTCTTAAAATCTCATGATGGCTGCCCATCATTCATAGAACAAATGGCAAGCTCTTTCATTTGGCACACAAGGCTTGCAATGATCTCTTCTATAATATCATCACAGCCAGCCTTGTACTTTATGCTCCACCAACAGTGAACTACTAGGATTTCCCTTGAAGCACCATGGTGTTGTTTTAACTTTGTGCCTTTTTTCATGCTGTACCCTCTTGTCCTTTAATCCCTTTCATTTGGTTAATCCCTTAAAACAGCTTAGGTATCACCTCTCCCAAGAACCTTCTCCTGATCAATACAGAGTAGCAAAATATTAGGCATCCTTTTTCTCTACTCTTGAGAATTCATTGAATGTGTATTTATCACTACACTTCCCCATTACGTATCTGACTTTCCAAACAGGCTGTGACTCTTTAAAAGTCGGGAACAATATCTTATTTATATTGGTTTCTTCAGTCACTCATATAGTGGCAGTGCATACTAGATGTTTGTTAAATGTTACTGCTTGAATAAATGATCTTATATTAACATTTAATAACTAAATTAACATTTCCAGCAACAGTGGGAAGGAAGAACTTTCAAGGAGTTAACAATCTGTTACAAACTAATGAGCTTTGTCTCAAGAACGTAAAGTTGGTTTACAATTAGGAAAAAAAAAAATCAATGTAATACACTACATAAAGAGAACAAAAGAGAAAAATGATATCTACACCTGTAGATGCAGAAAGGGCATTTGAAAAAACTCAATACCCCTTCATGATATTGAAAAAGAATTCTCAGGAAAAAAGGAATAGAAGAGATCTTCCTCAATCTGATAAAGGGCATCTACTAAAAACCTAGAGGCTGAACATTCCTATTCTAAGTTTGAGAAAAAGTCAAGAATGTCTGTTCTTACCAGTTCTATTTAACATTATGCTGAAAGTCCTATCTAATGTAATAAGGCAAGAAAAAGAGAGAAAAGACATATAGATTGGCAAACGTAAAACTGTCCTTCTGTGCAGATGACATGATTATGTACTAAAACTAATAAGCAGATTTAGCAAGGAAGGCTGCAGATTATAAGATTAACATACAAAACCAATTGTATTTTTATATACTAGCAACGACAAACTGAAAAAAATAAATCAAGCAACATTATTTATAGTAGCACTGAAATATCCATTATCTAACAATAAATCCGGCAAAAGACTTATATCTTAAATATCACAAAATATTGCTGGGAGAAATTAAAAACGACCTAAATAAATGTTCATTGACTGAAATATTCAATAGTGTTAATTAAGCTCTCCATTATCCATGTAGTGATATATAAATTTAGCAAAATCACTGAAAAACTTCCAGCAGGCTATTTTGAGGCAATAGGAAAGATGACTCTAAATTTTATGTGGAAATTCAAAGGATGAAGACTAGACAAAATGACCATGAAAAAAATAAAGTTGGATGGGTAATGCTACCTGGCTTTAAGGCTTATAGTTACAGTAATCAAGACAGTGTGATATTGATGTCAAGATGGACAAAGAGATCAGTGGTACAGAACAGTCCAGAAATAGCCTACACATATATGAAGAACTTAAATTTGATCAAGGTGCCAAAGTAATTCACTGGGGCAAAAAGAAAGTTTTATTTTTCATCAAATAAATCTTGACCTCTATCTCATTCCATGCTCACAAAGATTATAGATTTAAACATAAAACTCAGAAACAATGTTTATAGAAGAAAATATAAGACAATATCTTCATAATCCTGAAGTAAGCAGAGTTCTCAGACCAGACACAAAAAGAACAAACTATTAAATGGTAAATTGGACTTCATCAAAACCAAAACTTTCTGCTCAATAAAGAACTCAATTAAGAAAATGAGTATACAAATTAAAGACTAGTAAATAAATCTGTAGCATACATATCTGACAAAAGACATATCCAGAATGTAGAAACACCTCCCACAAATTAATAAAAAAAAAATGAACATGCAATTCTTTAAAATGGGCAAAAGAATTGAACATTTGACAAAAGAAGATATATGAAAGGCAAAGGAGCATATAAATGAATATTCACTATCATTATTAAAATACAAATAAAAACCATAATGAGATACCAATTCATACCTAATAGAATGGCAAAAATTTAAAAAGTCTAGAAACATCAGATGTTGGTGAGGATGGGAAGCAACTGAAACTTTCATTCATTGCTGGGAGGAGTATAAAACGGTCCAACCACTTTGAAAAACTCTGGCAATTTCTTATAAAGTTAAATATATAACTTCTCTAGAATCCCACAATTACACTCCTAGGTATTTATCCAAGAAAAATAAAAGCATATATCCACAAAAGGCCATAGATAAGAATGTTTAAAGCAGTCTTATACATAATAGCCCCCAACTGAAAAAAAAATCCAAATCCATCAACAGGAAAATGGATTTAAAAATCATATATCAATACAATGGAATATTATTTAGTAATGAAAAAGAACAAACTTTTGATATACTCAACAACACGGATGTATCTCAAAATCAAACTTAAGCAAAAGAAGCCAGACATAAAAGGGTACATACTGAATGATTCCATTTTTATGATGCTAAAATACAGGCAAAACTAACCTATGATGATAGAAATCAGATGGTGGGGGTGTGGAGACTGACTGGAAATAGGTACATGCAAAGTTTCTTGGAGAATATATTTCTTATTTCTGGTGGTTAAGTTACATAGGTGTATACAATTGTCAAAATTCATCAAACTGTTTCAGTTAAGATGTGTGCATTTATTATATGTTAATTTTATCTTTAGAAATAAATAATATTGTATGTCAACTGTAATTGAAATATTTTATAAAAGAAAAAACTGTCTTGCAAATCAAAAGTCAAAATGCAGTTTTAAAAACAAATTAAATTTCATTATTATTGGTTTAACTCATGTAATTAAATACAGGCACTAAATGAACTACCCATTTGTATTGTTCATTTCCATATACCTTGGAAATCAACGTCAGTTATTTTTCCATTGGCTAGGGCATAAGGAAGAAGCCTTATTATGTAAACTAAAACACAAAATGGCACTTCATAGAATATGACTCTATCTGTACACACCAAATAAAATGTATGTATAAAATATTACTGTAGAACACAAAAGAATTCTAACAAATGTGTTTATATAGAACACTGATTATAGTACTTGACTATAAGATTACTGCTCTCCTTGAGAGTACAAAAAGGGTCAGGCTCAAGGCCATTTCTATGAATAAGTTGAAGCTGCTTTTTGGAAGGCAAGGATGTAACTTCAGTGATGCTGATCCATTTATGTTCCACGAACTCCCCTGAATCTTTCTGCTGCCAGCCATAAAACTGGAGGTCTATAGAACATCAGCTAAGTCTAAGACCCACAAAGTGAATTAATTTACCCAAGGCTTTACAAACAATGAAGTAGGATTAAAATTCAAGTATCTTGATTCCCTGTTATGATTAATCAGCAAACATGTTTTAAATATCTACTTTTCTAGGTTCTGGGGGTAAAAGGAAACCTCACTGTCAAGTAGGTCAATGATAAAGCCCAACATTTATGTAGCACTTAACAACTTTAAAAAGAGCCTTTACATTTATTATGAAGTGACCAGGATAATATTACTGTCTATTTTACTGATTAGGAGAGAGAGACCCATACAGAAATAGTAGACCGAGTTTCCAGGCATATTATTTTAGCTAAATGAAGCAGAACTAACTTGAGATTTGCTTTATTTTAAAAGAACAAGTCATCAAGTATTTATTATGTATCACTTTAACCTGACCGCTTTTTGTGTTTTTTAGTATAACTTAAAACAATATATATTTCTATGAGACTGAAACCCCTTAAATCTCTCTACTTCTGATGTTTCTTTTTTTCATCTTCTCATTCTTTAATTGTGAACTTCTCTACGCTTCAGTCCTTGGTTCTCTGGTCTTCATTTGCTATATTATCTCCCATCCTCACTCTCCTTTGGTCTGGTCCTCAAACAGATATGACTTTCAGATGTGGGACCTCCAACTCTGATCTCTCTCCTTAGGTTCAGTTCTGAATTTCTTATAGCCTGATGGTTATTTCCATTCTGATATCCTTTTACTTCAAATTCTACATACATCAAAAACTAAATTCATCATCTTCCCTGTAAAATAATCCATCTGTCATTTTTTCAGTAATATCCACACCTAAAATCTCAGAGTTACTTTTGACTCTTCCCCTCCCACAGCCAACAAGACTTCCTCTTTTCTTCAGTGTTTCCTGAATGTCACCATCTGGGTTTAGGGCCTAATTGCCTCTTGTCTGAACTCTTAGGGCAGCCCCCTCTCTAGCCTCTGCCTCTACTCTCTATCCACCTAATTCCAATCCATCTCCCACATTACCACCAATTTAACCTTTCCTCTTCCTTGCTTTCATCTTCTCATTATTCTCTTCAAAAACCTTTGGTACCAATTCAACATTCTAATGGATAAAGTCCAAACAATCACAGTTTCTCAAAATCAGACCTCAACTACTACTCTTCTCTATGTGAACACACTGGTGTAGTCAAAAGGATTCACTCGTGTCCCAAATGTGCCCTATGCTTTCTCACTTCATACCTTTTGTTTCTGCCATTCTCCTCCTGTTAGAATGCCTTCAGGGTATCCTCATTCTTCAAACCTAATCATACCACCTCTGTTCTACCTCAGCTCAAATGCATCTCTGTCATCTTTGACTTTGCACGGAACATACTGTCTACACTACTGAAATGGTACTGTCTTGCTTACTTCCATTTCTTCAGGTGGACACTGGAGGTTACAGGTCAGCCATATATAATTATTTGATAGTTCCTATATTGCCAAGTCCAGAGCCTTGCACACAAATCAGTGCTCAGTAAATATTTGTTGACTGAATGACAACTGAAGCTGTTTGCTATCCATATGAAGTTTAGAGTAGAAAATTTCCATTTAAAAAATACTTGTATATATACTCTGCTTAGTTGTTACCTTGTTAACTATATTTTTTATGAAGATTTTTTTCCAGGGTATGTTGATGCAGATCTGGTTACTGGGATGGTAATTTGAGGAGGATAATAAATGTTACATTTCGAAAACCAGACAATAGGAACAGTTCTAGAGACATGGTTCCACATTCCAAACATCTTTGCCCTGGGCAGTTTTAATGCTTATAGTTCATCAGTCCTTAAGTTACCTTCAAAATTAAGTCAGCTGTAATATTTTTTAATATAAATATATTTTAAGAAGTTAAATTGATATAACTGGCAATGGAGGCCTGGAATCTTACTTCACTATAATGGACATCCATCATTCCAGCATCTTCTTTCATTGCTCCTTCTTCATCTATATTGGGAGTAATTTTCTTGAAGGCTGAACATCCATTAGGGAATAATTCTGTGTGAATAAAAAAGTGATGTAAATTTATTTTTAAAAAGTGTTTTATAAATAACAGCCTTACAGGGATTGTTTATCCTTAAAAATAAACTCATAAGTGAAATTTATACTTAAAACAAAAAAGAATTTTACAAATTATTTCCATCTACTACACATCCTACCAGTCTTTATCCTAAAAAGTGAGCTCATCTTATTCATTAGTTTCATCCTCTGACTACACATCATTTTCAATGGCTAGTACAGTAAATGCTTCCCTAGTATGATCTAAGAATTGTTATGAACATTTTGATCCTTTGTACATTTATCTTCTCTCATTTAAACAAAGGGGGCATGTACTTTTTAGGTAACCACAGAATGAGCTTTTGTAAACCATCTCTAGTTCCAGAAGAACTTTGGGGGAAAAGTGGTTGTTGAAGGAGACATAGCCTGTGACTTGTAAGACAGACAAAAAAAACTCCAAAAAACAAAAAATTAAAAAACAGATGGCAGGCATGAAGCATCCTTGCAGAAACAGGACAGGGCACTAGAAGAACCAGAGCTTTTAGCGTTAAGACAGACCCAGCTCTATCACTAATTGTGTGATTTTAGACTTGTTTTTCTCTCTGAGACTGTAAAGTTTCATCATCTGTAAAATGGAGATAATACTTGAGAGTTAAATGAAATGTAGTGTTTAGAACAGAACCTAGCGTTTAACAAGTGTTCAATGAATTATGACCAAAGCTACCAATAATAAGCTAGCTTATCCAAGATAGAATAAAATAATTGTCGTCCACTCGTGTAGTGACTCTGTAGCTGGACCTCTGGGAGGTAGGAAGTAAGCTCAAGCTGAAAACAGTTTCTGTAGAATTGTGGGCCAAACTCCTACTGTCAGGCAAAAACCTAGATAAAGACCACATGGTCACCCTACGGATCCTGGAAAGGGAAATATGTCCAAGCACTCTTGCTGTGCCTACCTTTATCCTTATCTCAGTGGGCTGCAATTTCAGAGTTAAGGAAAATTCAACATCCTTATAACAGAATCTGCTAGTCAGTGAAAAGCGGCTGGTCACAAGGGAACAAACAGTTGTTGTAATCTACTGTTCTACAATCTCTCTAATAGTGATACTGAGAAATAATGACCTACTCACAACTTAATATCTGGTAAACTTCCTTGGGTTAGAGGTTGGGGAAGGTTTAAGAAAGTCAAACCGCATATTGAGGCGACTTCTCAGAATTCTGGTGGAAAAAAGGTCATGTACCAGGGCTTGGATTTTGCCAATTCTTCCTGTCTAAAGACAAATATCTTCTGATAAGATGCTTGATAGAACATAAGTTATCAAGTAAGCGACCACCCTCTTATAACAGAGAATTTGAATTGTGGTGAGGGAAGATGGAGTAATTTTGAAGTAATTTGTTAAGAATGGAAAAACACATAGGGAGTGGTCAATGGATTTCTCTTAAGGCAGAAGGAGAGAGAGAAATGAAAATGAGATTCACTTTGACCCACTGGACTTTAAAACTGTTTTTGTTCAAAGAAATTATGTAATAAAAAACACTGAAGACAGAGCATGACACAATTCATTTCTGAAGATAAGTATGCCTAAAATGATCTGTTATAGATTTCTATTCAAAGTACTGGACCATGACAAGATAGGGAACCTGTACCAGAATGCTAAATCAATTCATCAGTTCCTTCATCAACGAAGTCATTTTATGGGGAAAAAAAAAAAGTCACATGAACTATAAACATTGTACTCAATGACAGTAGATTTACATTCAGGTTAATACTCCTTATTTTGTGGACCAGTAACAAACAGTTCTTAGACTGGCAGCTGACCAATAGACTCACGTGATCACCTCTATGAAGTCAAGAGCTAGAAAGTAAGGAAGAGAGCCCCAAAACTCAAGTGAAGTGATAAAGAATGTAGTCCTTAACAAAGAAAAGGGTCAGTCCCTGGAGTCCTCGGGCTGCTAGGTCCATAACTAGCAAAGCAAATTCCTGTCTTTTCTGAGATTATTTTAAGTGATTCCCAAATCTGGAATTTTTCATCATTTCTTTATTCAATTTTGTATAGAATAATGTGATTTAGAGAAGGACAAAAAGAGGCATACTCCTATGCCTGAAATCAGAGGAGGCTAACGCATCTA